CTCTGAGGCTGAGAGAGTGTGACTTGCTCAAGGTCACCCACTGGGTTTACATGGCAGAGCCGGGATTCAAACCCTCCTCTCTTGAGTCATCATCCAACGCTCAAACCACTACCCCACGCTGGCTGTAACAATTCTTCAAGGGAGCTTACCTGGCATTCCTAGTCTTCCCCACTTTATCCTCCCAACAGCCCTGTAAGGTAGGACTGAGGCTGAGAAAGAGGGACTGTCTTAACGTTACCGGGTGAGTTTCATGGCTCAATGAAGGTTAGAAACCTGGATCTCCCAAGTCCCAATCCGACACTCTGACCACTAAACTACACTGACTTTTCCAATGAGGTGGCAAACCTGGACCTTCAGATTTCAGGTGAGGGGGAAAAGACTATGAGCCTTTGCAGAAATAGTGCAAATTGAGTCCACTTTTAGGGTTAGGGTTAGTGCTAGGGAATAATGGGAATTTTTTTTTTCCTGAGACATTGAGCCTTCTCTGTCAGAGAGCTCTGGTGCACAATAAAATACAGTTCCCATGATTCCCTAACCCTAACCCTAAAAGTGGACTCAATTTGCACTATTTCTGGCAGCCTGCAAAGGTCCTATATTTCAGAGGAAGGAACTGGCAAAAACTCCTCTGAATATCCATTCCTTGCCTATTAAAATCCTATTAAAGTCATGGGGTTGCCATAAGTTGAGATGCAACTTGAAGGCACATAAACACACCAAGAAGACTGAATGGTCCTCCAAGGGTTGAGTGCTCCTGTTCCAGGGTCACCAGCCTGTCCTCACCTCAGAGGAGGACATGGCACCACAAAATGTAGAGCATGCCAGAAAAATGGAGGACATGACCCACACCCACCACCCACACCCCAAAATCCTAAAAACACTCATAGAAATGTCAGTTCATGCTTCTTAGCCATGTTGAAAACGAAGGATATAATGGAATTCCTCCTGGACAGAAGGTTGAAATGGAGGACATGACCTAGAAAAGGAGGACATCTAGTCATCCTGGCCTGTTCAGCTATGCTCTCTTCATGGATACTCCATTCCACACACACACACCACGACTGCGTGGCCACTGAAGACACTCAGAAGCCAATGGAATCGTGGGAATTGTAGTTTATAGGAATTGCATTTTGCAAAGGAGGGGTTTAGAGTCCCCCTCAAGAGGCTACCAACCTCAGGATTTGTTTATTTATGTACTTCATTTGTATGCCACCTTTCTCCCAGAAGGGACCCAAGACGGTTCACACACCAAAGGATCCTCCCGAAACTCAGAGCCTGAAGACTTGGTATAGAAAGCATGGAAGATGGGAAACCAGTGACATTTTAGGAAGGGATATTGTCCCGAGAGTCCTGGCCTGCATTTTGAAGTGGACACCTGCTGGTCACCTCAGTGATAACGATGCTAAACATCTCTGCTAACCTCACAAAACTGGGTATGTGTGTGCTAAAACTCATGGTAACGAAACAGATATTGGACGGCCATCCTTGGGGAGTGCTTCAGTTGTATGTTGGATTAGATGACCCTTGTAGGTACTTTCCAGCTCTATGATTCTGTGATTTACAAATGCCATAAAGGAAATTTAGGTCCAAAACACAAGGCAGAAATAAGTCAGCTCCAGACTGCTTTAACTGCCCTGGCTCAATGCTAGGGAATCCTGGGAACTGTAATTTTGTGAGCCGCCTTGAGTTCCTGTGTTTGGAGGAAGGTGGGACATAAATAAACATAAACA